CGCCCATGTGTCTCGGTGACAGGGACGTGACGGGGCGGCGACAGTCGCGTGGCCCGCTGTCCCCGGGCCGGGCGCCTCCCCTCCCGGCGCCAGGAAGCAGCCACTTCCGGTCGCAGTCGGCTGGAATGCCGCCGGACGCCGGCGCGCCGTCACCTTTAAACCGCGGCGGGCGGCGGTGACTCACGGGTCGGCCAGGTACGGGTGACCTGCACGGCGCCGGGGGCGGGGGCGTCACCGCCGCCCTGGATCGGAGCGGGCGGGGCCGGCTCTGGGCCGTCTGAGAAGGTGGCCGCCTCTCTGCCGGCCAGAGCTGTCCACTGAACAGTGCCGCCGGCCGGGATTCAGCCAAGTAGCGCACCTGGCGGCGCGGCCCGGCCCGACAGGTGCGGCGGCGCGGAAGGCTGCGGGCGCGGGTACCGGCCGCGCGGCTACCCCGGGCCACTGTGGAGAGCGGCCCATCCTCCTGGGCGTCGGGTGGTCTCTGACTCTGCGTCACACTGAGATACTCCAGAAGGATGAACTGTCTCACCACCGTAATGAAGCGCTGGGTTTTCCTTGGGTTGGATTACTTTCCCAAGGAGCCTTCCGTGCAGTGTTTTTTTTCCCCGAAAGTGCAACCGCTGCCGGTGCTGGTTGGCGATTCCATGTGCGCGCCCTGCCCGGTGCGCTGGGGACTGCGTGTGTTCCGCCGCTGATTGCCGGCTGCTGAGCTAGCCACGGCGAGCTGCGGCGAGATGCGCGCCGGCGGCGGCGCAGTTGGCTGAATCCGGCCGTGTCGGGGTGTGCTGAGGAGGCGACTGCTCACAGCCCGGCCGGCAGCCGGTGCAGAGGCGCGCCGGGCCGACCGCGCCGTGCCGCTCCTGCCGGCGCCGGCCCGTGACCGGCGGACCGGCGACGGGGGCGCGTCGGTGCCGACGGCAGCCGGGCGCCGGCTGTGGCCAAAGAGAGTGCGGCTGCGGCTTTGATCCGTGCAGCGCCTCTGTTGTGAGGCACTGTGATCACGGTAGTGTTTTGATCGAGCTTACCTTCGTGTGGTGATAGTGTATAGTTGGTGGCCGGCGAGCGATTTGCAGTGAGTTTGCAGTGAGTGTGTGGTCAAAGTGACCTTTCGGCGGCGGTCCAGTGACCTCAGTGACGGTCCAGTGACCTCACACTGTCGATCACCATCGGTGCGACGGCGGGATGGTGACCCCGGTGCGGTCTCCGCACACCACTGATCCATGGTGCAGCTGGGACAGAGTTATCCTCTCATGGAGCATAGGTGAGCACTAGATTCTGTCAGACACCTATTCGAGTCGTCATCACACTGTTTGCGGAAACGCCACACGTGTGGAGGCTTTTGAGACAGGTTATTTTTAGTAAACCGTAGTAATGCGGCTTACATCCCCGCATTAATGCGGGGATGTCTGACTAATTGAAATACAGTGTCGATTGTGTGCAGTGAGGACGTCAGTCCCAGTGCTGGTGTGGGTCGCGCGGCGGCCGGTGCCAGCCAGGCCGCTCTGACCGATATACGAGGTCTCCACTCGTATCCGGACCGGTCGGTTTGCGGGCACACGTCCGCCCGCTCCGCGCCGGACCGCTGCGGTGCGGCGCTCACCCGGCCGTGGTGGAGTGAGGGACGGCCCACCGGCACTAACCGCCGAAAATGCTGCTGCAATTGTGCGCGAGTTAAACGCGTAGATCACATATCATACAGTCTGCTTCCAGGATACGGTGACTGGATGCAGTGTTTGCAACGGTGGTTTAACTATTTGATTTATACAAATGCTGTGTTGCCTTGAGCTAACGTGCAGGTAAGGTATTTCATCACGAACGTTACCCATATTCACATTCCCATTCGACATCGTAGATCGACTAACTTTCAATATTTCAAACTGTTCAGTATGTCCTGAAGACCGCCTCTGCCAACTCCAGCCTGCGTTTCTCTCCATCTGCCGTCTCGAAGTTTGCTCGGCGCCCGCATCTCGACGCACTCCGTCTCGTCAGAGCGGCCTCCGTGACGAGACGCGAGAGTCTGGTCCCCTGTAGTACAGCGGGCCTGGGACCGGACGGCCCAGCAGTACAGCGGGGTGGGAACTGGGCGGCCCCAGCAGTACAGCGGGTCTGGGACTGGACGGCCCAGGAGTACAGCGGTGTCAGAACTGGGCGGCCCCAGCAGTACAGCGGGGTCGGAACTTCGCGACTGGCGTCCAGACGCGGCCGGCACTCGACGCGCGGTTCCGCGGCGCGTGTATCGCCCGCTTTTCTGCCGCCCCCGGCGCCTCGGCCGCTCCCTCTGAGGCCAGCGCCGCTCCGTGCTCCCTCTGAGACCAGCGCCGCTCCGTGCTCCCTCTGAGACCAGCGCCGCTCCGTGCTCCCTCTGAGGCCAGTGCCGCTCCGGTGCTCCCTCAGCTCTGAGGGAGCGGGAGCCCGCGGGGGTCGACCCGCCGTGAGGGGTCCCGGTCTCTGTGACAGACACATTGAACGGGCTGGGCATGATGAGCCCAGCAGACGGTCTGTTCGTCGAGGGTTATCGGCCTCTCAGATGCTGCGTTTTCAAACTTTGTGCATACAGGAGATTTTTGTTAACTAGGCAGTTGCTATGCCAGCAGCCTGAGATTGATGCGCCAGCTCCTGCTGTTTCTGGTAGTCGTAGGTGGAATATTTCAGGCGTTCGTTCGTGTGGGACTGCTTCCGTTGAGCTGCTCAGCTGCTCTTTGTATTCGGTGCCCCGGCGACGACGGTTACAAGTTGGACAGACTCTGAGGATGAAAACTTTGTCGTGTCCGGGTGTGGCGCAGCCGTGCCGAGCTGGCCGGCTGCCGACACGCTATTTCCGCGACGGCCGAGTTATTTCGGCTCCGCTGGGACATCGCCACCCTATTTCTGATTGAGTGTCGCCTCTGTTCAGCCATGCAGGTCTAAAGAGCCGTCAGAGAAAATTGGAGGTCCATTGAGACGCGCGCAGTGCTCGGAGGGAGGCGGTCGTCTGGGAGGTTCACGCGGCGGAGTGAGCCGGGGATTCCTGTGTCCGCCGTCGCTCTGATTTCGGTCACGGACGTGTAGAGGTCGCACCGTGACTTATCCGCACGCTGCTGAACTCTGACAACTGAGGAACTCTTGCGGAACGCGTTTGTATGTTCACGCGAACACTCAACCACCTACCTTTGTATTTATTTATTGTTGACCAGTGCTAGTGTTTGTATTTGTGCGCCGGCGCCTTCGTGGGCGGCTCATCCCGGAGTTCATTTTGGTGCGACTGTACTGGATGATCCTGAGATCACTGCTGCTGATTTCAGTGTTCGCCCTCCTCACCGCGCGCCGATTTCCAGCGCCGATCACACTCTGAAACGGGCACTGGGGATCCGTGAGGGCTGGGAGACAGGCCTAACCGGATCCGAGATCGCTACCTAATGGGTGAACTCCGGCGACAAATAACGGGTGTGTCACGTGGCTCTGGCGACGCGCTGATGGGTTTGTCACCTGACTGACACGCTATGCTGGCGGCTGTCACGTGACTGGGGCGGTCGGGGTCGGTGGGGGTGGGGGTGAGTGACTGGTGACACGCAGCTGCCAGTGTTTGTAGGCGCCCCCGTGTCATGCTGCGCTGACTCAGACCTGTATGATTAGCGCGGTACCGGACTCAGCACTTACCTACCTATCAGGCAGCTGAATTATTTGTGTCCCCACAGAATGGACAGAGGTCGATGTATCGCCCTTTTCACACCTCGACATTCACATGTGCACGCCGTGCCCTGACCGGTAATTGATAACCCACCCACCTGAGCGGTCCGTTCGCGCCGCGCCGGAACGGGAGCGCCGGGCGGCGACTGCGGCCGCTCTCCCAGGTCTGCCGGTCGGACGCGTGTGATTCGATGCCGTCCGACGGCTACTGGTCCCAGTGGCGTGCCAAACGCGCCCGGCTGATCAGATCTGCTCGCCGTTGTGCTATCGCCAGACCGCAACGGGGACCGGCCGGCACGCGACCTGCCGGACCGGCGCGGCGGCTGGCCGGCAGGACGGAAGGAGTGGCCGGGCGGGGCCGTGTCCACAGGGCGACTGACAGTCGGGATAGGCGCCCTGCTCTGCTGTCTGGACCGTCTGACAGTCCCTCTGAACGGGACGAGGCTCGGAGCTCGGGTCAGTCCCTCTGGACGGGACGAGGCTCGAAGCTCGGGTCAGTCCACGTTTTGGACTGCGGCTGTGCGGGGTTTGCTGGTTGATGTCTGCTGTCGGCGACTCACCGGCTGTCTGCGCGTGCTTCCAGCTAGCGTCTGAGGTCTCACAGTGTGAGACGCGGCACGGAACTCTGTGCTGGCAGACCTCCAAACAATTTAAACCATTTATCGCTCGGATACTATGTACTTTGTTACTATTCTTAAAACTGTTGTATTGGCCTATTTGACAGCCTGCAGAGTGCAGGTCCAGGTATGCGTTCGACCATGTTAAACGGCCACATAAAAAAGTTATCTGTGGCGTGTCTTTTTTGTGTCCTGAACTCTGAAGCCTTGAAGGCATGCTTTCTCTATTTGTAAAATAAGCTCATGGTGTTGGATATTTGTGTGTTTAGCCTAGGATGGTCTTCGCTGTTGCGGGATAGTAATCTCAGTCTGCGGCGTATATGGAGCATAATCCGCTTTGGAACGCTGAATGGAATGTCATCAGGCGTTGTCCAACATGCAGTTGAGGAGAGCTCGTGCGGCGTTTTTCAGTGTCTCGTTATCACGTTCGTCTTTTCCTGTATAGCATCCACACAAAGCCGTGCCTTTCACCTCCCCCTCCCCAAACCATTGATTGGACACATTTAGGTGATATTGACTGCCTTAGTGGATAATTATCAAGCCAATATTTTTTTTATTAAACACATTTATGTAGGCCTCGATCAGTGCTCAAGAAGGATGCTCTTGCCTTTTGTGTGTGTTCCCCTCAGTTTCGATGCACATTCGGGCCGGTTGTCTCGAGCTCACCGACTCGGCTCAGTAAGGGTCATTTTCTGATATCTGGCTGTGTGTTTTCAGACCGTGTGCGGGATGCCGACGTTTGACCCGGAGGACAGTCCGTCGGCCGGAGCTTGCACCATACAGCAGAGGATCGAACAGGTCAGTCTGTCACCCCCACCGGTCCGGCCCAGCCGGGAACGGAGTCACGGGTCACCACGGGGCGATCGGTGCGTCTCACTGTCACTCATCCACCAGTGGTGTCGGTGTGCCAGTGCCACCGTTGCCATCACGCGACGTTAGTGTCTTGTTGTCATTGCCTGCTGTGTAGGAGTCGTTGTGTGTCAGTGCTAGTCTTGTCGTATCATTGAGGGCCAGCCTGTTCTGCGCTGGAAACCCGATACGCGGAAGGCCTGGCGATGATCGATATATACGAGGTTTGACGTCAAGTTACAACTAGTGGTAGGTCATTCCTCTGAATTCTTTGGTCAGTGAATTTTGCGGGCTGGGGAGGGAGGGGGGGGGGGGAGGGGCCGAGAACTGTCGGAAAGCCTGTGTCTGAGCAGTATCAGCCCTAGCGCCTAGCAGCCGCTTTATGTAGTTGGCAGGGCGGAACAGCAGCCAGCACACAGGATTGCCCTCCTGAGTCCACTGACGCGGCCGAGCGCTGCCACCTTACCTGTGTGTCACCTGGCGCTGGCTGGCGGCCTCAGTAGCGGAAATGACACCACCGAGGAATAAGCCCGACAGCGGCTAAAGAATGCAGGGAGTGCGGGAAACCCAGAGCGCTGACTCGCCGTGTTGGTGTTTTGCGGCCCATCTACTCTAATGCGGAGGCCGTGCCCTCGCTTTGGTGGATGTGATCTGAACGGCTCACAGTCACACAACGCTGGGGGTCGAGTGGGACATGTTTCAGTGGACTGGTCCTTCCATAGTTGTCCACTGCAGCGTTCCTCATCTCGGAGGCTCGGAGTCTGCCGCGCGCCTCGGCTGGTCGGGACACCGCCGGCAGTCCCCGTGACATTGAAACAGCCCCGGCGCTGCGCTGTTCGATTTGCTGGTGTTGGTCTGCGGACGGGCGATGTGTCGGCGCGCATTGTACGGACGATACCGGTCGCTCAGCGGACGGACAGACCATGTGTCGCCGCTCAGTGGACGGGCGATGCGTCGGCGCTGAGTGGACGGGCCACTGTAGGCCGGCAGCCCGAAAAAGCGCTAGAAATTCCCCCAAACTGACTCTCCGCAATATGAACAAAATAGGTATCATTTAATCCCAAATTGATCGAAGAATACGATTCCGATGCCAGTTTTTCCCTAAGGTCAAAATTGAGGTCGTCAGTTGTCACCAAACACAAGACAATTTAGACTCTCTAGTGGCCACCACATTTACCGATTTTCATGATGATCTTCAGTGGTAATTTATTAGCTGACCAATCGTCGTTTTGAACGAAATTTCCTCACAGACTAGTTTAGGGCACTGTTGTTCACTGTGCCAACATCATTCTTACATATTGCATCGCTTTTCTGCAAGATAAGCTAGCTTTTTGCAAGCAGCTGCAAGACGTAATTAAAAATCATATCTAATTTTTTAATTAGACTTTTATAAAAATGTGATTTCGAGCAGCTAAAAATGAACATTTTATACTAGCCTCTGATTACTCATCTTTCGTTCCATATAGGTGCTTTGCTGCTTTTCCCTGCTACTTTTCGAGATATGCGCAAGTAAACCACATGATGTAGGGGCAATTGTCACCTCGCCGCTCTACTGAAGGCCCGGCGCTCTTTAAAAAGCTGGAAGTTTTGAAATACAAACGCGTATAATCAGAATAGAATATATGTCCCTGAGCTCAGAATTGATCAACGCACACAATGCTGTTAAAAATTTTGGCCCAAACTAAAAAATTCAGTCGTTATTAACCCTCAAACACAAGTCAGTGATAATCAACAACAACTTACTTTTTAGTCAGACTTTTTGAGAAATGTTATTTCGAGCCGCTAAAAATGACCATGCCATACAAACCACTAATCATCTTTCTGTCATGCCCTACTCGCAATTTTTGCTAATGCCTGCTAAGGCCGCCGTCCACTGCGACGGAATTCCGTCCGGAGTCCGTCCGGAATGTCTCCGCACGCTGGCCGCATCCGGTCCGGATGCGGTCCGGATGCGGAGAGCTAATAAATGTTTCCTATCACTTATTACCAAATAAAATATTGCAAGTAACCAGCAGCGAATACTCTTGCCATCCTAAGGAAATAATTTTTACTTACTTCATGATGATCGAGTTCCAATTCTTCGTACAATTCACAATGTTTGCCTCCGATACGGCCCCAACCCACGTCTGTTCCGGACGTTCCGGATGCGTTTTCCGCAGAAAAGTTCAACGCGTCGGACATCACTCTTCCGTCTCCGTAGCAACCGCATCCGAAACGCATGCGGAGAGCTGACGGAAAATCAACAGCTGATTGCCGTTCGGATGCGGTCCGGACGGAGCGCACACGATTTCCGTACGGACCGGATGCGCCCATAGGGTTCTGTGTTAAATTCCGTACGGACCGCACGCGTTCCGCACAGTGGACGGCGGCCTCTACTCTTCGAGGTCACGTGACCTCACCAATAAAAGTCAATGGGGAAATAAGGAAACTGTTGTTTTTGCGCATGAAATGATCTCAAACTATCTCAAGCACTCGGAATCGTGATTTCATGCACTCCTTGCAAGATCTGATGCTTTACTTTTGCATTTTTGACCTTCCGTGACGTCATTTATGACGTCACTACGGTCATAGGAGTTTGTCGTCAATAACTCATGATCAAATTGAGCCAGCGACTCGGGAAAGCCACCAATGGACTCGGGGAGACCTCCCGAATCGAATGATATGCAATACGACTTCCTTCGATTAAGTTCGTGGCCTGATGGGCTCTGAACTGACCTTGACTCGAGGTCAACACCTTAAGTTGACCTCACCCGGACAAAAAGTATACCATTCGACGCGCCTGAGCCAGGCGAACACGATGGTGCCAAAATCGCTGCTCTGCGGCCATTTTTTTGCGAAATTATTTACCAAAAACTAAACCCTACCTTGGGCTTTTTGACTTCACCTCAGAGGTTACCGGTTGACCTGGGACCTTAAAATCGGGTATCAATCGTTTCGTCTTGAAACGGCGCACACGCTTGTTTTTTCCGCGAGGCTCTAGCTCCATTAGGGGCGAAACGGCGAAAAGGGGTCGTACCAACCCTCCCCCCTCGGCTGGCCGAGGGGGGGGGGGTCCGACAATAGGTCCGGCGAGGGTTAAGCAGCCCCACGTCGTTTTTAGCATGTTTGCCTGTCACTGAGATCAACAACTCAATCACAGATAATTTCTAGCACTTTTCCGGGCCCCCGGCCCAGTGTGCGGGCGAAGTGTCGCCGCTCAGTAGACGGACGATGTGTCGCCGCTCAGCGGACGGACGGACGATGTGTCAGCGCTGAGTGGACGGGCGATGTGTCGACGCTGAGTGGACGGACGATGTGTTGGCGCTGAGTGGACGGACGATATGTCGACGCTGAGTGGACGGACGATGTGTTGGCGCGAGTGGACGGGCGATGTGTTGGCGCTGAGTGGACGGGCGAATTGTTGGCGCTGAGTGGACGGGCGATGTGTTGGCGCTGAGTGGACGGGCGATTTGGCGGCGCTCGGTAGACGGGCGGTCTCTGGATGCCGGGCTCGGGCCGGCCGCCCTTCTGTTTACGGCCTGTGTCGGATCTACGACCGTCGGCTGCGACCGTTGGGTGCTTTTTATAGAAGAATGCCGGGCCATCAATTCCATTTCATGGAGCGTGCTGCAGTTCAATTCCAGATCGGCCCGTCGCGCGACATGGCTCTATCATGCCATGTGGAAGACATTCGGTGCATCAATGCCAGTATTGTTCTGGAATTTATCTTGGGGAACGCGTTTAATCGTTTGAATTAAAATGGTGATATTTTAGGCAGAATGCTTGATTTAGGCGAAATTTAAGTTCTCGGACACTGCTGCCGCGCTGTTGGGTATTGTTCCGCTATTCACAACTCACTGTTCATTCCTTAAAAGCCCTCTCGTGCCCTTAAAACTTCTATTGATTTAAGTTCGCCTTTGCCCTGCCTCCTCCGTGAATGACCGCGTCGTTTCATTTCTGCGTTGTTTCTCAGCTTCAGTCGTTAGCTCATTGCCCCCGAGTTCGCAGTGAGTCAGTACTGTTTTTAGCCTGGTAAACAAGTGGCAATCCACTTACCCAGGTGCGGATAGACCGAACACCGTCTGGCCTGTCCGTCCGCACACCACCGGTCACTCGGTCTGACCGGGGTCAGGTGGGGCTCAGATCAGTGGCCGTCCGTGCCGGCGGTCTGGTTCAGTGCGGCGCCCAGCCCGAGTTCAGCACCGGTACGTGTAGTACCGGCCAGCGCGGACCGAGCCGTCACTCAGTGGCAGCGGCAGGTGTATTGTGAGTGTGTGTCGGTCGGTCACGTCAGTAACCGGGCGCCGCGCGGGGTCCGCACCAGCCGTCACCACGACACCGCGCGGGGTCCGCACCAGTCGTCACCACGGGCGCCGCGCGGGGTCCGCACCAGACGTCACCACGGCGCCGCGCGGGGTCCGCACCAGACGTCACCACGGGCGCCGCGCGGGGTCCGCACCAGACGTCACCACGGGCGCCGCGCGGGGTCCGCACCAGACGTCACCACGGGCGCCGCGCGGTGTCCGACCGGTGCACAGCGCCACAATGGGCGCCGTGACGGCGCGCGGACGGGGCGTGACGGCTCGGACGGCTGCGTGACGACCTGCTCCGTCCCCGGAGACCCTCGGGTCGGACTGGAAGGCACTGGGCACGGCTGGTCCGCCGGTGCCAGCGCTCGCACGAACAGTCGCCTTCACGCTTTGGCGGGTCGTTCATCCACCAACGAGCCGATGTTTCACTCGCCAGCTCAGGTGGAAATTATGGACACGGTGATTCATGGATCTGATCTTTCCTATGAGCTCCTTTGTTTTTCGTCGCTGGTTTGAGTGGAGACGCCTGATGTATCCTTTTTTTTGTGTGTGTTCCGTTGGAGCGCTGTGTCTTGCCGGCCCCTGTACTGCTCGGTCCACATTGGCCCAAATTGGCCGGCGATAGCGGCCGCCCGGCGCGCTCCAAAGTGCCGCCGCCGA